TGTTTGATAAATTACTTAACAGCAAAGTCAATATGAATTAAATAATAGATTTAAATGACTTTATTTTCCTGATCAAAGTAGTATCTACGAACACTTGACAGATAAGTTTATGTGCCGTTGAGACATTTGTGCAGCTTTCTGTTAAGTATCTCAGACAAATTATGCTTTCGTCAAGTTCTCAGGCCAAGAAAGAACACTGGTTTAGGGACAACCTTTGTAGTATTATACTTCTTCAGTTCGAATAAAAGAGGTGCCTTTTCCTTTGCTTCAGTGAATTGTTTAGAGTCCAGGCTAGTGAAAAGCTGAATGTATTCAGCAGGGATAAATTTATTTTCCTTCGAATGATGTAGTTTTGGTTGAATGATATAGGGTTATATAACAGCAATAGTCTACCAACTTAAATCTCTGTTCCCAAAGTTAATCATCTTTATTGAGACCCAGTTTTCTGCTGGCTTTTCCCTCTTTGTATACCACTGATACAGGGATTTATTTATTTATTTATTTATTTTGGCTTTAACAATTAATGACATAGCTCTTTTAAACCTTTCTATATGAATTGTTTCCTATTTTGTCAGGGCATTTCGGGCAAAAATGCATTTTGTTCTTTTCTGTTCCATTTGAAGGTAGAACTTTTTCATGTGAAAACGGCAATCTATCTTGGCAGATGCTGCTCTTACCACAAGTTGCCTTATTTGTGAAATAACACTTTATTTGTATATTGAAGAGCTAATCTTATTACTGTTGTGTTTTATTCTCTTGTTTTGAGAAGACTATATTGGTGTCTAAAATTTATGTCTTCATTGCAACTTTAATTCTGTTTCACTTAGTTATGCTATATAGAAAATTTAGTAATTTCTGGATGTGCTGGATAGCATTGTAGAGGCAAACAAAATAGGTTCTTTTTTTTTTTTGGCTGGCTGGTACAGTGATTGAACCCTGGACCTTCGTGTTATCAATACCACATTCTAACCAACTGAGCTAACTGACCAGCCTAGAGTAGGTTCTTGAAATATGGTTAAAAGAAATCTTTTATCTTTCTTTTGTGGTGGAAAAGTATGTTTTTAAAATGTCATGTGTGTTTATATACTTGACCTTAGCCAAAAGGCTGAGAAGCAATTCAGAATGCTTTTATAAAAACAGTTTGATATTAAATAGTTAATCTTTTAAAGTGATCCTATATCCTTATTCATATTTATTTCCTTTTTCATTTTTCAGCTTTATTGAAGTATAACTTATGTATGATAGCGTTCACCAAGTTAAATAAGTTTTGACGAATGCATTCAGTGTGTAACCCCCACTACCACAATCATGACATAGAACATTCCCATCACCTCAAAAAGTTCTCCATGCATTTCAGTTTTCTCATCAGTGAAATATATATGATGGAAGTATCTACCTCCATAGGGTTGTTGTAAGGATCAAATAAGTTAATACGCTAGAAGGCGTCATACTTCCTGGCATATTGTAAGAGCTCAGTTAAATGCTGTCTGCTGTTATTATCTGTAGTACTGATATTGGTGTTCCACTCCTTTTTAAAGACCCCTCGCTACTAATTTTATTAGGTATTTAAAACAAGTATTTTATGCTATTAAGGTGTGTTTGTTGCTACCATGTATGTGTGTACGTAAATGAAATTGGACTGGAGTGCAAAAGTACCTGGAGCTCTTGAAGAACTCAGTTGATAGCTGGTGTATGAAGGTACACTTTCCTGAATGTACCTATCATCCAGCTTTATTGATAATTTGTATTTAATTGCATTATTTTTATCACTCTTTTCTCATGGTGAAGTATTTGATGTAAAATTCAAAATGATTTCCTGTTCCTTGTCAGTACCACCGTGCTAGGCAACTGTCACTTGTATTTAAAATAATTTTGCTTTCTTGATTTATAGTAACATTATGTTTATGGAAATCTTTGGTTATTTTGAAAGTATACACGTTGTATGCTCTTGTCAAGCCTTTTCTTTAACTGTTTTCTTTGCATTTTATTGATCCTGTCTGCTAGGATATTTTATCAGATCTCTTTGGGACGTTTTTCTGTGGTGCCTGCTATTTTCTTTCTCTCTGGCTTTTTTTTTTTTTTTTTTTGAGAATTTCATGTTGTAGTGTAGATGTTGCATTTGTTTTCTAGGGCTTCCATTACAAATCACCACAAATTGGATGGCTCTAAAATAATAGGAAGTTTTCTCTCACAGTTAAGGAGGCTAGAAGTCTAAAATCAAGGTGGTAGGGCCACACTCCCTTCTGAAGATTTTAGGGCAGAATCCTTCCTTGCCTCTTCCTGCTTCTGGCGGCTCCTGTTGTTTCTTGGCTTCTGGCAGCATAACTCCAATTTCTGGTTCTGTCTTCACTTGGCCTTCTTCTGTGTGTCTCTTGTGTCTCCTATCCTCCTCTTATAAGGACACTAGACATTAGATTTAGGAACCACCCTAAATCTAGGATGATTTCACTTTGAGATCCTTAACTAATTACATCTGCAAAGACCCTATTTCCAAATAGTTACATTCTGAGGACATGAGTTTTGGGGGGACACAATTCAGCCCACTACAGGTATGAAGGGAATATTTACATGATTTAAGCTCTGAAAAGGGGTGGGAAACATGACTGAATAATGTAAAAAACTACTTTGCAATTTGCAGAAATGTTATTTTGGATCACTCTTCAGTCTGAGTGCTCTCAGCAGTGTGCTCTAAATAGAGGTCCCAAGTGAATAATTAGCTGGTAGGGCTTGGAGCATATGCCTGCCCTCTTTAAGTACCTGTTAACAAGCTAGGAATAAGTGATCTCCTAAAATGTTTATGTGACTCTATGGCCAGTTTGAGTGACAGAATATACGATTTTGTGGTACTATAAATTGTAAGAATTTACATGGAGAGATAGTATAGTGATTAAGAGCAAGGACTTTGGGAATCACATACTCTTGGTTCATATTCTACTTCTGACTCTTATTAGCTGGATAGACAGTGGGTAAATTGGTTGAACCTCTGTGCAGTGTCTTAATTAAAATAAGGGTTGACTGGCTGGTTAGCTCAGTTGGTAGAGCACAGTGTTGTAACACCTACGTTGAGGGTTCAGATCCCCATACAGGCCAGCCAGCAAAAACAAACAAAACAAAAAAGTAAAATAAGAGTTATAGTAATACCTTCTCATTACATGTAAAGTACATAGAATTGCCTGGCACATAATAACTGCTTATTGAATGTTAGCTGCTACTGTTTTCAATATCATCTGTACTCTTCTTCAGGAGAGAGAGAAACTTATCACCTGAAAGATGCCTTTGTTTTTTTCTGGTAGTGAGGATAATTTTTTACTGATGAATTTGTAGATTCCTACCCAGCCTCACCTTAGGAACGATGCTTTTCAGGTTGTCTGGATAGAGGTTGGGATAGTAGAGGACATGAGATGAGATAACAGGTTTCTGGTTTCATTAACAAGGCACCTTAAACGCTGACTAGCCATTTTAGTGATGTATAGAACTTGCCTCTGACAGACTCTTCTAATGAATCTTAATTTACTGTATATCAAGCAGATCTGCCTTTATATCATGAGGGTATCTGCCTGGCTTTTAATGTAAGTTTGTTAAATATCTTATCCCTGAATTTAATCTTTCTAAAGGATCTTTAATATAACAACTTTGGAGTTGTTTTCCAGATAATAGACATGTAGATGAACTACATGTTTTAGCTGGCATTTTGGGAGGTTTTGGAAGTCATCATCTACTAAAAGATTTGTTGTGAGAATGTTGTTTTCCTTCCCCTCAGTTTTTAATGATCCTCCTGGAGGTATATGTTACTAATAAGACTTTTGAAAATCACACAGGGATGCCACTCTTCTGTTTACCTGAGCCTCTTGGGCAGAGTGCTGCAGTGTAGTTTACTGAGATTATTAAAAGATTTGTTAATAGGCTACTAGGATTTACAGAAGATGATGAGACCAAATATTAAACAAACACATTTCTAAACAAATCCCCCCCCCCCCCCC